GAACGTTTGGGATAATGGAAGTTTCATGCGTATCGTGGGTCTTTCCTCCTCGCTTAAGGCTTAGTTCCGACATCAACAAAAAAGGCGATGTGCTACGTGATTCTAAATGCCTTACCACCACAATGCCCCGACCTCTATATTGCGATAGCGCCCATTTCTGAGTAGAATACCTTTATAGTCGTTGGCAGCCACTCTTTGAAGAAGCGAATAGTTAAGGGGAGGAGATAAAAAGGAAGCTCAGAATTACGGCAATACTTCGAGAGACAAAGGTAAAAGAAAGAGCAAGGTGTGCGGGGCGCAAAAATGCGCATTTAATAAGCCAACCAGGAAAAAAGGGAACTATGATACTTACGTATTGCATCGACATCACAGGAATCCTGTCGCGGTGTACCACTGAACATACTTGAAACACCCTGAAATTACCAAACATTAAACAAAATACAAAATAAGCCCAGCATTTTGGTTAGCAGAGAAGTCTTGGACATACTGATATAACGTGGCCGCACTGCTGAACAAAGCTATATACAGAAATGATGAAAACGAGATGGGAAAATAACCATCGCGATGGGAAAATAACCAAAACAACCATCGTTTTCGAATCACGTGAATCATCTTCACAAGTGTACACAATTCGAATTTTTCATATAGATGACATCTATGAATCTATGAATTCACGCCCAACCGAACCGTTTTGTCATTACAGTATACCCTCAAGTGTCCAGTTTTTGCTTTACTTGAGTTGTTATTGGCAAACAACTTGAGAAGGAAAGCGGTAAGAGAGTAGCTCAAAAGGATCACGCAATAGCCCGCGTGTTCTTTTCCATAACCGGATTCAGCCGATTACTCATGCAATACGACTTTTTCCAGAATAAACCAGTTCAAACGTCATCCTCTCCATTCCTTTTCCCTCGATCTCACAATTTCTCTTGACATCGTTCCAGTCTGACCCAACACTGGCGATACAACATTATAACCATCAAATCTCATGAACAAGTTCGCCTGAAGATAAGTCCACTTAGCAAAGGGAACGCTAAATTGTTTGAATGATGCCGGTATCAGACTTTGGGACCCCATTAGCAAAGTCTGAACGACCTTGGTCGCTTTTTTATCAATGAAATTTTTGTTTGAAAATCGTTAGAAAAGTATTGTCGAGCAAAAAATCAGAGATCAGCGAGCTGCGCCTTTTCGAAGAACAGAGCGGACTGCGAACTTATTTGCAGGATTTAAGCTCCACATTATTTAACCCCGGAGTTCCTTTGATGTTAGCTTTTTCAGAATACGGAATGGAATAAAACACTAGAAAACATCCCCTTCTGGGAACTTATTATCATGCCTTGTCAAACAGATTCCAATTCGGGAACAGCAATAAGCTATTTTCTAATGGAATGAAAGAAGCCTTGGACCTGGAGCACTTGCATGCAGTAGGTCGAAAACTCGCTCTAACCATAAGTCGGGTATTCCAGGAAACTTGCTTGGAGGCACGAATTGCAATCGAATTGATGTGTTATTGCGCTTCAAATGAAACACAAGGTGCGAAGAGGCCTTGAGGAGAGGAAGCAAGAGGAGCAATAGAAAACATTGAAATTACGGACCTCCTTTCTTGAGAGGTCCACCGTAATACAATGGAAAGACATAATGTGGCGTTGAGAGGGAGTACGTGGGAGAGCATGTCATATGGGAGGGATCAGACACCGCGTGTATTGCGAACAATTAGTAATGGCAGTGGACACGGTGGTCAAGGTTAGATCTAAGCACCCTTACATGCCAGACTTGTCGCCCAGGAGCACTTCACCTTATACACGGAAAAATTACTCTACTCGGGGGTAATCGCGATTCATGCCTCTAACAAGTAAGAAATGCTCGGACTAAGGTTCCTACATACTCCCAGTTACTTATTTGGTGGATGGAGGCAGAAAAAATAGCCGGTGTCAAGGGAAGGATGAGGAAGCGAAAGACGTGGGCAAAAACCTCAAAAATAAGCGCCGAAATTCATTTGAGAGGATATGTGACAGAACTCCAATATACCCCACTTAGAGGCATGACCATTCACTCTCCTAATGTTCCTGACTACCAAAAATGAATACGCAAACATTTCTCATACAGAAAACCACTCATCAACCCTTCTGCGACGCGCTAGCCTTCTCAGCCATTGATAAAATCCGTTTGGATCACTTACCTTCTTTTTCTGATAAATTTATATAACTTGACAAATTATGAATTGCGGAGTATTCGAAAGGATGTTGCTGCTAGCGGCCGAAATAACCTCACTCCTGGAAGCCGCGCTCAAGCGTATCGAAAACAGCCACAAGCTCTCTGTTTATTACGATGCGATGCATTTCGTTCTGTTAATTGAATTTGTAGGCAAGCTACGCTCGATAGATGAAATGGCAACATCCTTCACGTGGTCTAGAACCTACCCTACTTGCCGAGTGCCTCCAAAAAGAGCATAGATGATTCATCAAAACCGTCTCAAGGTTCTTTTCTTATGAGACATGTGAGGGCTAAAGAAGTAGTAAACATCAGCCGATTGCAAGCTTTCCTGGCCTCATACCGAGCGTCTGCGCAGTTTGAAAAGCGCTGCTTTCACTTAACGTCAATTTTCTCAGAGCTCGCATGAGGGAACTATAAAGGATAAAGCAAGCATAAAGCGTTGGCTGTTGATCAATCCCTTTTTGGGATGCGGCACGCATTCTACTTCCATTTGTACATTCGTAGTGGCATTTGAATGCGATGTGGCCTATACAATGACTTGGGCCAGCCGATGTTCAAGTCAGTGTTTTTATCCTCCCAGACAAGTCTGGTACCAATTAACCGACCCCGGAGGGATGGAAGGCTTGGTTGGCCCGGGCGACTCACGACCCAGGATTTGATCCCCGGACCGCTCGCGTGGTAAGCGCGCCACTTGCCATCGCCACTCGCCTTTGAGGGAGCCTTAACAACCTCTCAGTTCGTCCCTCGAGTAAGCGCTAATAAGGCCTCCACTCGTCTTCGATGCATGCTAAAATGCGTGCTTTTCTCGCTCGAGAGGCTCGACCAGTTCATTCCTTCATTTCAGAGCTCTCGTGATACAGTGCGACTATCGAGCTGGTGGTCATCCTGGTATTTGATTGACGTTCCGAGGGAATTCAGTCGGCAACCGCTCAGGTTCAACGGTCATCGCAGAATCGCATGCGTTCTCGGTTCCATCCTATCTTCCCTAGGCGAAAACAGAGGGGTCCCTAATCTACGACCGTTGACGAAGATCGGAGAACCCCTCTGCACTCACATGCATCAAGCACCTCCAAGCATTATCTCTTACAAAATGCGTTGAAAGTGGACCGGGACACACAAAGAAAAAACTAAGATTACGGACCCAATGAACACTGCTCAAAGAAGGGGAACACATACAGCCTCAGTTGCTTAAGGCATCACAAGACGTGCCAATGTAATTGTTTCAAAAACAAACGAGGACTTTCGAAAAGGACTGCCAAAAAAGGAAAAAAGGACATAAACAATAGAAAATACTGAGATCAAAACCTTCTCGAGGTCAACAAAAGCTTCAGCGTGCTGAGGAGAGCACACGAAGAGAATACACGAAAGATTTGTCGTACGAGAAGCGCAGACATTGCGTGAAGCTGCAAACGAGCAAAAATGGCAGCGGTGGCACAAAGGCCTTAGCGGCCTTGCCGCGCACTTTCGTGTCGTGAGAGTGCCATGACTCTTGCGGACCCTGGTATCTCAATCAAGGAGAGAATTACTCTAAAAAGTCAGTCGCAGTCGTGAGCGATGCCTTCAAAATAAGGAATAGAAGAAAGCATATCGCAACAAATCAATCTCAGCATGAGTCAGAACACAGTACACTCATGAAAACAAACCTTTCGCCGTTGACTCAACGACATCTAGGACTGACATCATACAGACTTTAATTTCATAGAAATAAATTTCACGATAAAAACCTAATATTCACTCAGGGTTTTGGGCGACTAGAGAGTGTTTGGAACCATTTCCCACATTCACATCACATGCCTCAAAGCAAGACCGCAGCAGAAATTGTGTCGAAAAATCTATTTAATGAGCGGGATAGATTAGCTCATGAGAATCACAGATCTGCCGTTGTTGCGGATCGAAG